CCTGATATCTTTGTTTAGCTCTCGACCTTTCTTCGTCGTCATTGCATTGTAGAAACTCCTTGAAGCAAGTTTGTTTTGTCTTCACCTTAGTTTGGACTTCGTCGTTCCACCACCACGATTCTTTATGTTCCTTGGCCTTCCCCGTCGACAACCCAAGGGTGTTTTTGCCCACCTCTCTGATGGAATTTGCCATATTTTTCCATAACATATCTGCATTTTTTGAGTTTGTAGTTTCAAAACCTGTATTAGACAAAACCTTACTCCTAAAGTCATCAGTTGTCGCTCCATGTAAGTTCTTCCAGAGGATCCTAGGTTTACCAAGTTTAGCCCTCCTATGAGTGCTCCGCCCGTGGGGTACGCGGAACACCAAAACCAACAATCTGTATTGTGATGTACATGCCTCTTCAGGGAACACCTTACAGTCAATGCAAGCCCATCGTTCCCGATTTCTAACCAAGATGTAGTCGATTTGGGTACAATGTCCCCCGCTATGAAACGTAATCAAGTTCTCATCTCTCTTATTAAAGAAGGAGTTAGTGATCACCAAATCGTGAGCGGTAGCAAAATCAAGCAACATACGCCCCCATCGTTCCTGCTACCATAACCGAAACCCCCATGAACACCGTCATACCCGTCGGTTGCACTGCCTATATGGCCATTGAAGTCTCCCCCTATGAAAACTCTTTGGTCCTCCGGAATGCTCCTAAGTATATCATCTAACTGATCCCAGAAGCAACGTTTCTCCCCTCCCCTAGGCCAACGTGTGGGGCGTACACTGAAAGGACATTTACTACTTCCTCATCTATAATAACCTTAATCATCATGATCCTATCCCGGTATCTGCAAACTTCAACTACATTTTCCTTGAGTCTAGAGGATGCCAAGATACCCACCCCATTTCTAGCGTTATCTACGCCTGAATACCACAACTTGTACCCATTACACTCTCTGGCGCGAGACCCTTTCCACCTAGTCTCCTGAATACATGCAAAATCTATTTTTCTATTATTAAGTACATCGGTCAGCTCCAGCAGCCTAGCATTTAATGTGCCTACATTCAACGAGCAAACTCTTAGTCTAGTCTCCTTGTCACCACTCTGTCGAGCCCTCCCCCTATACGTCCCATGGGATCTAAAAGAAGGACATGACCTCAAGTAATCATCTATAACCGAAGCTATGAGGAACTATGAAACAAAATGCAAAGAAGACAGAAGATGCACCAATAAAACGCTAGAGAATTGAGGGGTACTACGAAGCCTAGTTGGTTACGAAATATAATTTTTAAGACAAATTAACACTATCTTACTTAACTTTAGGCCAACAGCTAGAAATCAAGTGGTAAAACCACAACAAAATTTATAAATCTTTATATCAATTATACTCAATTTGAAATAACGGTAATGATATAAGATACTAAGAGTCTATGACAATGAAATAATAAAGAGCCAGTAAATCTTACTCAAAGCAAAGTAGTAAAATATAGATCCAGTAGATCCTACTCAAAGCGTAACTACTTTTCAAGTAAATAACAAATTCTATAGATATTTAAGACGTCGTCAACTTAAAGCCTTACTCAAAACATGAACTTTTCTCAGTAAAATTTCTATAAATAATCCAAGCAAAATAACTCCAAATTAACTTCAAAAGAACAAGTTTAAGTTGCATTGAATAACCAAAACTAAGAACCGAGCTGTAAGGGAAACTACTAGGACGCTGAAGAGTAAATCGAACTTTCCAGATCTCATGTACCCATGGATCTAAAGCTCGACGATATTCTAACAAGCTTTACAACAATCAATTAAAAATATTCAAATTCTATCGCCCAGTCAAAAATCAAAAACCCTAGATTCCAGGAGGAACAATCAACAAAGATCACAATCCGCTTAAAATTAGTAAAATTGGAAGTATAAAAAAGAATACACACCTCTCTAAAGAAATTCTGTCGAAGAATTTTTTGAATCTGAGACGAACATCAAAATGACCCAATTTGTCAAAAGGCCCTTGAGAACCCGATGGAAATCTGTAAATGGGAGTCGATCCAAAGCACTGGAATAGAGTGAAGGATTTCAAAAAATAACAAAAGCGATTTTGAGCAGATCTCCGGCGAAATAGTAAAATGACCGCCGCAAGAATCCGACGAGTAACCGTTAAGATCCTAACAAAAAGAGATGGGGAGCGAAAGGAAGTTAATGTTTGATTTTCAATAATTCTAATAAGAAAAAAATATTAAAGCAAAAAGGCTGGAAGATTTAAATATGATAAAATCATATCTTAAAACCATTTGGGTTATATTTTATGGATTAACTCTCCGTTTATATTATGTCGTCGAGTATGTGTTTGAAAGCAACGACGATGTCACTAAATATCATTAAAATATAATTTTATCATATTATAGTCATTATGTTAACATCTAGCTTAAACATCGTCAATTTTTTAACAGAAAATGACGAGTTTAGACCATATAAATAGTTTAATGATCATTTTGAACTTTCAATAGTTTGAGAATTCAACAAAATAATATTCTATAGTCGAAGTATCATTTTGTAACTTTTAATAGTTAAGAGATTCAATAAAATAACGTCTATAATCGAGGAACTATTTGTATAATTTATCTATTTTTTTACTATTTTCCTAAAATTAAAAAATTAAAAGAAAATTATTGATATTTTTGAAAAATGAACCCATCCTACCTTTTTCCTCCCTATCTAAGGATGGTCATGAGATTTTAAAAAAAATTATGGGTCGGGTAGGATCGGGTCAGATTTTTATAAAGGTGGTGTTCAGGTTGGGTTTGAGTTTAGGGTGAAAATATTTGACTAGACACGATCCGAAAAAAATATAATTTTATATTATATATTTAAGAATAATTATAATAATACCCCTCTATATATTATTTTTTAATTAAATCATTATTTTTATTAAATAAAAATAATTTTTATTATTTTGGCTCAGATCAAGTCGTATTCAGATTTTATTTCAAAAAATCGAGTAAAATTCGAGTCGAGTAAAAAATATATTATGTGGGTTAGATAGATATTTCAGGTGAAGGAGTTAATATTTTCGAGTCGAGTCAGGAAGATTAAAATTCCGACCTAACCCTACCTATTCCGGTCCCTATGATCCTACTCCTTTTCTCTCTCTCCCACTCCGAAGTCCCATCTTTTTATTTTAATTTCTTTTGCCGACCAGACTGTAAAGAAAGTAAGAAATAGGAAATTAAAGATTAGAACTTTGATGGGTTAACTCACTCCCCAATCTAGCTCTTGCCACTTTGTTGTTGTTTTTTTTGGTTCCTCAACTGTTTGCAGATGCAAGACCTCTTCGGATCAGTTCGCCGTTCACTGGTGTTCCGGCCAACCTCAGACAATAACAATGCCACCCAAGAAAATAGTACTCCAGTGGCAATCACAACCAATGCCTTTGTTGAAAAGATAAATTCTTGCATCCGCAAATCGCGGGTTTTCTCCAAGCCTTCCTCTCCTTCGCCTTCTCCTCTGATCCGATGGCGCAAAGGGGAGTTGATTGGTTCCGGTGCCTTTGGCAGGGTTTATATGGGCATGAATCTTGATTCTGGAGAGCTTCTTGCTGTCAAAGAGGTTTATTTTTCTTTCTTTTTGCACTTTTTAGTGGATTTTGGATTCTTTTTAGAGTTTGTTTAATGGATTGTATTTTGATTGTGGTGCAAAATTGAAACTCTGAAATGGGGTTGCATTAGGTTTTCAAGTTAGGGTTCTGTCTTTTGATTTTTCCTGGTTGGATTCATTGATTTTGGGTTTTTGTTTAAGTGGATGTGATCTCGAGTTAGTGAAATGAATTTGTTCTCATTTGTTAGCTTTGTCGTTTCAGGTGCTAATTGCAGTAAACAGTGCTTCAAAGGAGAAAACACAGGTTTGATCTTTAAACATGGAGTTTTCGAACTTACTACTATTGGTATTAATTTATCATCTCATTGCTAACTTGGTGAAGCATTGCCGTACCATGATCGACCTTTGTTTGTGTATTGTTATGCAATTAGGCTCATATTAGGGAGCTCGAGGAGGAAGTAAAGCTTCTCAAGAATCTCTCGCATCCAAACATTGTTGTAAGTAATGACTCTGCTGTTTTATATATAGATTGAATTAATGACGGTTGTCGGCCCTTCATTTATTGGGATATTACTTTCCATCTTCAGAGATACTTGGGAACAGTGAGAGAGGAGGAAACTTTAAATATCTTGCTCGAATTCGTGCCTGGTGGATCAATATCATCACTTTTGGGAAAATTTGGACCCTTCCCTGAAGCCGTAAGTCTCGGATTATAAGCGTTTACAAATATATCTGTTTTTAATGCTAAGCTTGTCTACTGATTTATCTAATAGGTTATAAGAAAATACACAAAGCAGTTATTGTTAGGCCTTGAGTATTTACACAACAACGGAATTATGCACAGGGACATTAAGGTACCTCCCCTTTTCCGTACATTAATATTATAAACAGAGAACGGGCCTTAGTTTCTTTCTATCTTCTCCTTTTTCTGATCAACGATTAATTTGTTCATTTATCCATTGGCAGGGGGCAAACATCTTGGTAGATAATAAGGGAAACATTAAACTTGCTGATTTTGGTGCTTCCAAGCAGGTCGTTGAGCTGGTAATTATTCAACTGTTCAATCTTATCCTCACATCTAAAATAAATTTTCTCCATTGTAGAATGTACTTTTCTTTAAACCAATACTTTTATAAAATAACCTTTATAATAATATACGCTGTGTTTCTACAGGCTACTATCACCGGTGCCAAGTCTATGAAGGGTACTCCATATTGGATGGCTCCTGAAGTCATTTTGCAGACCGGACATAGTTTGTAAGAATAACTTGAAGCATTTAAATGATGTTAGAACTATCTTTGGCTAGTCTTCTAGTGTGTTTCACATTTCGATGATTTTTTTATCACCTATATTTGCTGCATGCACGGCGATATAGTTATTTATAGCATACTTTGTCACAGTTGGACAAGAAGAACAGGGAAACGAAGAGGAAAACGGTGAAGTAAGGAGTGAGATGCGAAGGAGAAATGAAAAAGGGGAATTAGGGATTGAAGGGCGAGAGGAAAATGAGATTGGGGAATTAGGGATTATGGCAATTGAAGGGCCACGGATGTTACCTGATGAAGTGAAGCCGCACGTGACCAGTTCAAGCAATGGGGGAGCAGGCCAGAAAAGGATCAACAGCCCAGTCAACCCAAATGGAGAAGGTTTAGCCCACGGTTCATAGCCTGCAAAGAAGAGAATCTAATATTGTTATAATCTGTTATAAGGACAGCCAGCTGGCAACCTTTCAAAAGACTGAATTAGCCCTGTAACTAAATAAAATATGCTGTATTGAGAAAGGGAAGGATTTTATGAAAGAAATGCATGAACGTTTTCTGTAATCTCTCTCAATTTCTCTTCTGAAATCCCTTTCTTCTTCGCTATTTCTTCTCTAATATACCTAGATCATCACAATTGGTATCGAGAGCCTCGGTTCTGGCAAGTAATCAGGAGCATGACAAAGAAAAATCAGAATATGGAAGCTGATTTATCTGGGTTGCAAAAGCAGATGGAGGAGCTAACAGCCTTGGTGAAACAAGGCCGTGAGGAGACTAATCCACCGAAATGGTGGGAGACTCAAGAAAACAGGATTGCTGCACTAGAGGCAAGAATGTCCACTAATCAAGGTTATGTGGAGGAGCTGTTGAAAATTTTAACGGGCAGAAATGGGGAACAAGAACAGTCTGCAGGTGATCAGGTAAACACTCCTAATAACTCTAAGGATGGGGAGAAAAATCCTGTGTTAGTGACTGTAGTGAAGGATAAATCCAGATTCACTTATAAAACCATGAACAGGGTATACTAAAAGATAAGCCTGATGCTTGTTTCAACCCTAAGAACAGTAGTAGACCTGAGAATCAAATGGGGGAAAATAGTAACAATAGACCTATTATGATTGGAATGGAAGCTGAAAACAGGGGACCAGGGGGTTCTTTTAGCAGTTATGGGTCGATGTGGCATAGACCTAAAATCGATTTACCATTCTTTGAAGGAATCAATCCTAGAGGGTGGCTTCAAAAATGTCTCAAATATTTTTCTATATGTAATGTTCCTACAGAGCAGAGAGTAGAAGTAGCCACTATGTACTTGACTGGAAAAGCAGAAGTTTGGTTTGATGGATATATTATGCAGAAACACCATGTAACATGGCATGAATTTGAAGCAGATCTTTGTCATAGATTTAGTGACAAGACTTTTTCTGATATTGTAGAGGAATTTACTAAGCTGACTCAGAAAGGGACTGTTGAGGCTTATCAGGAAAAATTTGAAGAGCTACAACCTTATATGTTATTACAAAATCCTACATTACATGAGGATTTCTTTGTGTCATTGTTTATCAGTGGACTAAGGGAGGATATTAAACATAGGGTGAAGGCTCTAGATCCTAAAAATTTGCCTGAAGCATACAAACAAGCCAAACTTTATGAATTATCTGTTGATTATGAAAATAGAAGAATGAGGCCTTCTTTTAAAAACCCACCCTACCCAAACCCCATTGTTACTTCTAAATCAGTTTCTCTGCCAGCAATTACCAAAAAACATCAGTTTCTAATCCTAAACAGAGTCTTATGGATTATAGAAGACAAAACAATCTTTGCTTCAAGTGTGGGGAGAAGTTTCTTCCAGGGCATCAATGTAAGTCAAGGAATTTAAATTTGATGATTGAGGAAGAGTCTGCTGTTCCTACAGATAATGTTATTATGGAATCAGATCAGCAATTGATGCAGGAAGAAGAGGCTCTAGAAATCTCGATGAATGCTATTACTGGTTGTATTAGCCATAATACATTAAGGATTCAAGGAGCCATTAAAGGTAGACCAATTAGTATTTTAATTGACAGTGGAAGTACTCATAGTTTTTTGACTCCACAGTGGACTGATGCTGGTATACATGTAATTACACCATATCCTTTGGCAATCACAGTAGCCAATGGACAGAAACTTTATAGTTCAGCAAGATGTAATCAGGTGGAGTGGCAGATGCAAGGGCAATCTTTTGTTCATGATTTCAGACTCCTAAAGTTAGGTGGCAGTGATATGGTGTTGGGGGTGGATTGGATGAAATTATTTAGCCCTATTTTGATGGACTTAATCAAATGACATTGAGTTTTCAACATCAAGGGGAGAATATATTATACAGGGACAACAACCATCTAATTTTTGCAGCAAATTTCTGGAGCTACATTATTGAAAATGACAGCATCAGATTCTCCTATTTTGGGTCATGTGGTTTTGTTGACTATGTCTACAGATTCAAAACCTGTTCCACCAGCTATTCAACCTCTTTTACAGAGATATCGTCTATTTTTGAAGAACCTACTGGGTTACCACCTACAAGGACTCATGACCATGCTATTCCACTTAAGCCTGACTCTACTCCTATCAATTTGAGACCTTACAGATTTCCACACAATCAGAAAGATGAGGTGGAAAAACAGATTTCTAGTATGCTTTCAGCCTCTATTATTCAGCCTAGTAGGAGTCCATTTGCTTCTCCATGCCTTCTTATCAAAAAGAAGGATGGTACTTGGAGGTTTTGTGTGGATTACAGGAAATTAAATAGCATGACTGTAAAGGATAAATTTCCTATACCTGTGGTTGAAGACCTATTAGATGAACTGCATGGAGCAGTTTATTTTTCCAAGATTGATCTCAGATCTGGTTATTGGCAAATACGGATTAAGTCTGAGGACATATATAAGACAGCATTCAGAACTCATCAAGGACATTATGAGTTTAAGGTGATGCCTTTGGACTTACAAATGCCCCTGCTACATTTCAAGCTTTGATGAATGAATTGTTTAGTTCATTTCTTAGAAAATTTGTCTTGGTATTTTTTGATGATATCTTAATCTATAGTACTTCTATGAATGATCATGTTAATCATTTACGACTGGTTTTCGAAGTACTGCATCAGAATCAGCTGTTTGCCAAGCTGTCCAAATGCTTCTTTGGACAGAATCAGGTTGAATACTTGGGCCATATTATTTCAACTGTTGGAGTTTCTACTGATCCTAACAAAGTGGAAGCTATGAGGAATTGGCCAGTACCTAAGTCATTAAAGTCTCTGCGTGGATTTTTGGGATTAACAGGCTATTACAGAAGATTTATTAAAGATTATGGGTCAATTAGCAAACCTTTGACTCAGATGCTTAAGAAAGACAATTTTCAGTGGTCTGATGCAGCTTTGACTGCTTTTGAAGAATTAAAGAGGGCTATGTGTGTTGCTCCTGTTTTAGCCTTACCAGATTTTGGTAAGAGTTTTTATTTGGAAACAGATGCCAGTTCGGGTGGTATTGGGGCAGTTTTATCTCAAGAGGGCAGACCTATTGCCTATTTAAGTAAGGCTCTCAGTCCTAGACATGCAGCACTCTCTATTTATGAAAGAGAGTATCTGGCTATACTTCTAGCAGTTTCCAAGTGGAGGCATTATTTAGAGAGTAAATCCTTTGTGATTAAAACAGATCATGAGCCATTGAAATATCTATTAGAACAGAAGCTGACTACTGCTATTCAAAAGAAAGGATTGACCAAGTTATTGGGGCTAGATTACACTATTCAATACAGGAAAGGTAAATCAAATGTTGTTGCGGATGCCTTATCCAGACAGTGGGAAGATCAGGGTGACTGTTTTACTATGAACACTACAATAATTATTCCAGGTTGGGTTCATGAAGTGGAAGGGAGTTATAAGGATGATCCTATAGCTACTCAATGGATTTCTGTATTATCTGTTACTTCTAATGATGATCTGCAGTGGAAATTTTCAGGAGGTATCCTTAGATTTAAGGATAGAGTTTATATTGGGGAAGCTGGATCTCTTAGACTACAGATACTTCAGACACTACATGATTCTCCTTATGGTGGTCATTCTGGCAGTCAGGCTACCTATCAAAGGATCAGGTCTTACTTCTATTGGCCTAGATTGAAAGCTATGGTTGTTACTTATGTAAGAGCATGTGCAGTTTGTCAACAGACTAAGGTGGAACATGTGCCTAAACCAGGGTTATTACAGCCTTTACCTATTCCTCAACAGGCTTGGGAAGTTATTACTATGGACTTTATTGAGGGATTGCCTACATCTTTAAGAAAGAATTGTATTCTGGTGATAGTTGACAAGTTTACTAAATATAGCCACTTTCTGGCATTAGCACACCCTTACACTGCTGCAGAGGTTGCCAAATTATACCTAGATTGTGTTTACAAGTTGCATGGTCAGCCTAAAATGGCCATTTCAGATAGGGACAAGACTTTCACTAGCCTCTTTTGGAGAGAGCTAATGAAACAGTTAGGAACGAGGCTCTATTTAGCACTGCCTACCATCCTGAAACTGATGGACAGTCAGAAAGAGTAAACCAGTGCTTAGAACAGTATCTAAGGGGTCTCTCTTTTTTCCAACCAAAACAGTGGGCAAAGTGGTTGCCTCATGCTGAATGGTGGTATAATACTACCTACCATACTGCCCTTAAGTTAACACCTTTTGAAGTCCTATATGGCTACAAGCCACCTACTATGGTATGGCATACAGACAGTCCAGTACAAAGCATATCAGAGTTAATGCAGAATAGAGAAGAGATCAGGCAATTAGTCAAGTTTCAGTTAGAACAAGCAAGTAATCGAATGAAGCAAAAAGCAGATAAACATCGATCAGAGAGAAATTTTCAGGTTGGTGAATTGGTTTACCTGAAATTACAGCCCTACAGACAGACCTCTCTTGCCCTGCGAAAAAATTTAAAATTAGCAGCAAGATTTTATGGCCCTTATAAGGTTACTGAAAGAATTGGAAAAGTTGCTTATAAACTGGACTTACCTGAGACTTCCCGTCTCCATCCGGTTTTTCATGTTAGTTTATTGAAGAAACATATTGGGGCAACCGTATCGTCTTCAACAGATCCTCCTGTGATGGACGAAGTAGGTCAGTTCAAGATTGAACCAAGTCAGATTCTGGGCAGACGAATAGTTAAGAGACAAAACAAACCGATAACTCAACTATTGGTTCGTTGGACTAACCTGGATGCTACGAACGACACATGGGAGGATTATTCTGTGCTCCGAGGCCAATTTCCGAGTTTTGATCCTTGGGGACAAGGATCTTCTCCAGCGGCGGGTATTGTCACAGTTGGACAAGAAGAACAGGGAAACGAAGAGGAAAACGGTGAAGTAAGGAGTGAGATGCGAAGGAGAAATGAAAAAGGGGAATTAGGGATTGAAGGGCGAGAGGAAAATGAGATTGGGGAATTAGGGATTATGGCAATTGAAGGGCCACGGATGTTACCTGATGAAGTGAAGCCGCACGTGACCAGTTCAAGCAATGGGGGAGCAGGCCAGAAAAGGATCAACAGCCCAGTCAACCCAAATGGAGAAGGTTTAGCCCACGGTTCATAGCCTGCAAAGAAGAGAATCTAATATTGTTATAATCTGTTATAAGGACAGCCAGCTGGCAACCTTTCAAAAGACTGAATTAGCCCTGTAACTAAATAAAATATGCTGTATTGAGAAAGGGAAGGATTTTATGAAAGAAATGCATGAACGTTTTCTGTAATCTCTCTCAATTTCTCTTCTGAAATCCCTTTCTTCTTCGCTATTTCTTCTCTAATATACCTAGATCATCACATACTTTTGTACTGAAACTTACTGATACATTATGGATATTCTGCACATAATTTCTAGTTCTGCTGATATATGGAGTGTTGGCTGTACGGTAATTGAGATGGCCACTGGAAAGCCTCCTTGGAGCCAGCAATACCAAGAGGTAGATCTCTCGACATTTCAAAGATTTGTTCTAACTGGTGGTTCTTTCATCACTGCACTGAATGCTTTTTTTCTTCAGGTTGCGGCTCTCTTCTATGTCGGGACAACAAAGTCTCATCCACCTATTCCAGAGCATCTTTCTTCCGAGGCAAAAGATTTTCTGCTGAAGTGTTTGCAAAAGTATTTTTTTTCCGATTCTGTGAGCATATATCGTATGATATATTTTCTGGCCATTTTCCCTCTTTAGATATGTGATGTTTGAGTTATGGAATTTCAGGGAACCAGAGTTGAGGCAAGTAGCATCTGAACTACTAAAGGTAATTGTGACTTGTCTAACTTTACCCTTTGTCTTTCGGATTTGTACGATATATTTAGCTATTCTTATGGGTTTAATAATCTCCAATTTTGAAATAAATGCAGCATCCCTTTGTTACCGGAGAATCCCAGGAACCCAGTCCTGTTTTGCATGCCTCAATAATGGTCAGTGCACTTGAAAGTGTTATGTTTATTTAGTTTGTTTGTCATTCCCTTGAGATTCTAAAATATGTTTTTTTCTTCAGAATAATTCTGAAATCCCTTCACCATTCACTAACCATGAAGACCTGTAAGTATTACAATATGATTTTGCCCGAATCTGTAAACTAAGTAATTGCATTGGTAGTTGTCAAGTGGGCAAGGTCTTTAACAATGGCATCAAATTTTTTTTCCAGTCAAGTTCCAAGGTGCCGTGACTCAGCTGATATCTGTAATTTGGGTAGTCTGAACTGCTCAAACACATTCGTTGAGAAGTTTTCAAAAAGCAAAGATTGGAGAATTAACTGCAGTGATGATGATATGTGTCTAATTGACAAAGATGATTCTATGGTGAGCAATGTAAGGCTTTGTTCTGCTTCAATGCTTGATAACGTTAACCAGGTAACTACTGCGCTTTTATCATTGTTCAGATATTTTTATCGTTTGAGTGTTACAGCTACTAATTAATGAGCCATCCTTTTTGTTTAGATTTCTGATCCCAGTCGTGAAGATCCTGAAATGGTACCAGTCGGTTTCCCTATTACTAGTGGTGAAGAGGGAAATAATTCTTCATATACTGGTGGGCCATCTTTCTCTGAAGATGATAATGAACTTACCGAGTCAAAAATTAGAGTTTTTCTGGATGAGAAGGTACTATTATTAACCCTTGTGCAGTCGGTTTTCTTTAAATTTGTGCTCAGATTGTTGTAAAAATGAAATGTTAACTATACCTCAGGCTTTGGAACTAAAAAAGCTGCAAACGCCATTATATGAAGAGTTCTACAACAGCTTGAATTTATCGTGCTCTCCATCTTTTGTTGAGAAACGTGACGAGACACCGCCAAATTACTTGAAATTACCTCCTAAAAGCAGATCCCCAAGTCGTGGTCCCGTTGTTACTCCATCTTCAGCAGCTGATGCTATTAGTACAGGAAGTCCTGGGAGTAATAATAGCAGACGTGTGTCGAATTCTGGCACAGCTAGTGAACAAACTCCACAGGACAATTCATCACCTCAGCATGGTGATTGGAAAGGGCTTCTAGTTGATGGCCAGCCAGAACCGAGCAGGCCAAGGTTGATCCATATTTGATTGGTTTGTTTGCCTCCGCTTTACTGAATCCTGTTATGGGGTAGTCTGAAATGCAATTATTTGCTATTCGCAGTTTAATACTCTCCGAGAGACAAAGGAAGTGGAAAGAAGAGCTTGACCAAGAACTTGAAAGAAAGCGAGGTAGATATAGTTGGTTCCACTCGTGTTTTTACGTCCGTATCGATTATGCAGATAGCAACTTTGTCTTGAGATAGTAGGTTGATTATCCAGATCTTCACTGTACTCCATGGCAAATAACAGTGAAATGTTTGCAGAGATGCTGCGCCAAGCAGGTTTGGGAGGGAAGACTTCTTCGCCGAAGGATCGAGCATTAAATAGGCAAAGAGATCGGACAAGGTTTGCGTCTCCAGGCAAATGAGTGCATCTTTAGAGTTAGCAGCACCTCCTGAGAAGTACCGACTAGAGTTCGTCGTAACATTTACACTTAATTTGGACTGAGCTTCTTCTGGCTCGCAGGAAAATTTGCCCTTTCCAAAGCAATATCTGATGTTTGTTTCTCAAACACAGTATATATAGTTGATATCTGATGTCTGGTGCGTGTATACTGTATTACTGATTTTGAATAATAATGATTAGATTTTACTAAAAGCTTGAAGTTTGGTTTTATTAACACTCAGCCCAATTGAACCAAAGAATTTTTTACATCCACAAGTAAATTCACAACAATGTCAAGAAAAGAGAAATTTCATGATGCTTATATTTTCCCTGTTGAGAATCTCATTGGCATTAAAACCGGACGCTGTTTCATTCCACTCATTGGTCCATCAGTCTTTTGCAATCCTTTTCTGCTCCTCAATGGTGACACCAGTCTATTTGCCAATCGGGAAGGTGAAAACGATCTCACAATGCCTTTTTCCGAGCTCTTTCTACTCTTCAATGGTGACACCAATCTGTTAGCCAATCTGGAAGGTGAAAATGATCTGCGAAGCTTGGAAGCAGCTGACGCCTTTGGTGATCTCTTGCTCGTGTTGGTCGATCTCGTGGGCGATAGCGAAACCACAGGTGGGCTCTTGATCTTGACTTGGAACTTCGAAGCCGATGGAGGAGACTTGATCAAGAACTTATGTGGAGTTTGTCTATTTCTTGCAATCACCGGAGACCTTGTCTTGCAGAACTTCTGTTGCTGTGAAGCAGATGTTGAACTAAACAATGGGTTTGGGAACAAGACAGTCTTTTTAGCCCAGGGCCTAATCCTTGGTGACACCCTATTAGCCATAAGTCTATTGTTTTCCTTCTCATGTTCCTTGAACTTGGGAGGAGAAACCTTGAAGTTGATTCGGGAACAAGCCCTTCGAAGAGACGGGGACTCGGATTCGGTTCGAATCAGCTGTAATTTGTTCTGTTTCTCCCTCTTTCTCCTGGCTTTCAGCTCGGTGTTCTCAGGCTGTTGCTTTTGCTTTTTACGTTCAGTCAATGGAGTCTTTGGATCCTCAACCGTTGTCTTCTTCACTTTGTTATCAACGGCTGCTAAAATCTCTTTTGCAAATTGACTAGCTTGAAGTATTTCCCCTACTGTTTCTCCTACAAGCATTGCAGGCAATGACATTCTCTTCCATTCACCTGCATAAAAGCAAGTCAATATCATCAAACGTTCAATGTATTCGTGATCGTTTCTTCTAACAATATCGTTTCGAGTTCGACATAAGTAAAAAGGAAACCCCATTTGTTTCCAATACCTCTTGCAGCAGCTGGAAACTTCCCAACAGGTGACTTCCTTGGAGATGTACCATTCTTCATTCTACATTAAAAAACAAAGCAAAAAACCTCAATCTTTTCTTTTTGTCATAGATTAAAGACAAAAAATCAACCAACAACTAGTCGATCTAGTAGGACGAAGTACTAGATCCCTTGAGTAAAATCAAAAGTTCGAGTTATGGCAATGAAAACCCCAAATTTGAGCGTACCTCAAAGACTCTTGCTTGCACCTGAGACTAGTTTTGAAATAAGCCCTGGTACTCCCAGGACTCAGTTTCACCCCTGATATAACCTTCGTCCCTCCGGCCACCGTATACTGCAACTCTTGCAATCTCGCCATACATTTCTCCACCTTCAAACAATCCCCAAAACAAATAAACAAACAAACCCTAGAAAAACAAAACAAAACAAAAGTACCCAACTTTACCTTCTTTACGGTCTCCCGGAGTAGGACAGGATCAAGAGGAGCCACCAAGATTTTCCTTTGCTTTGGTGGGGTTCTCGCAACCATTATTTCCCAGAAAGAAAAGAAATTTGCAGCAGCCAATAAACGAAGAACACTAAAAGAAAATGTGGGTCTTTACTCTTTTCTGAAACGAATTGTTTTTCCTTCCTCCGCTCCTCAGCTACGCTCCTCGTTTACTTTGTTCTCTCTATATACCCATCAATGAAATGTTGGGGTTTTCTCTTCGAATCTAAAGGATTTTTCAAAGAAGTCAAAAGCTTTTTTGGTTTGGGATGGAGATTACTTTCTGTGGAGTGGTGGGTAACGTATATCATTTTTGATTGTGCACAACGGTCTAATTATCTCTGTCATTAAAAAAACAAAAAACAACAAAAAACAAAAAACGTATATATGCCAACGGCTATTTCTTTTAAGACTAATAATATTTTGAAATAGAGGATCATTAATTAATGGGAAAGTTCAGTTGTGACGACTACGGAAAGACGTTATTGAAAATATTAAATTTTTTTTAACATTTTCGGTAAAACATTACTTAAAATATTATTTTTTTCGGAAATGTTAATTTTACTACCTAATTTACGGTAGAAAAAAATAACATTTTATGTAACTTCCAATATTAACATTTCTGGTAAAAAAAATAATGTTTTAAGAAACACTTTACCGAAAATGTTAAAAAAATATTAATATTTCAATAACAACTTTCTTAGCAGTATATTAAAATTATCTTAACTGAGACATCCCTTATTAATGGTTATGGTGAGAAAAATGCTTTATTCCTTCTTTTACGCTCACATTATAAATTCTCAAAATTTGATTGTTGGATAATTGACTCTTTCAGGTGAGCTGAAATGAAAGAAAAAGAAAGATAAGAGTAAAAAATATAAAAGAAAATTATATATTAAAATAAACGTGTATCGTCAGGCCTGTATCCCGACCTGGATGTTTCGAGTACCCGATTTTTGGGTACCCAGATTTTACGGGTACCCGTATGTCGGGTACCCGAATACCCGATTTTTTTAAATATTCTAAAAAATAATTATTTAATTTAATATATAATATTATTTTATATACAAAAAATCCCATATATTAAAATGTTCTAAAATAATAGTTGTTTACTTTAATTTAATATATAATAGTTGTTTACTTTAATTTAGGGATCCTTTTTTATATATAAAATAATATTATATTATTATATATACATGGATACCCGATGTTACTTTAAAATATTCTAAAAAATAGTTGTTTATTTTAATTTAATATATAATATTATTAATAATTAAATATATAATAATAGTAAATCGTAAATCCAAATTTCAATTGAAAATATAAATTAAATAATATTTTAACATCCTACCTTTTTAATATTAAAAGCCTTTTGGACGTTATCATTGTTAGCACAATAAGCACAAATGTAGTATGCATAACTTTCAAAGTCTGCGGGCATGAATATTTCATGAAACAACAGTGCAGAAAAGCCTGAAAAACAACAAGCTAACCGGGTACTCAGGTAACCGGGTACCCGGAAAAATCAATTTTTGTGACCTGGGCTCGACTCGGAAAGTGTCGGGCCGGGTATCCGACCCGGCCGGGTAATTTTTGTTAATAAAATTACCCGGTTTATTTTGATCCGGGTCGGCGGGTCGGGTAATTTTGCACACCCTACGTGCTACTGTCGTCGCCACTCAACTCGTGCTCGCGCAAACGCGTGTTTGTTGTTTTTGGATAAAATTCGTATAATTATTTTTTCCTCCTTATTTTTCTTTTCTTTTATTTTAGTCTCAATTTAAAGAGTCCTATTCTTTTGTGCCACGAAAACGGAAGATCTTTTGTATAGAAAGCACCTATCGAAAACGGAAGATCTTTCGTAACAAACCATGTCACCTACAAGTGATTTGATTTTTGGATGGTGTAATTGAAGTAAATCAAAGGTTTGTATATATTCGGAAACTAAAGATTGGTCACAATAGTTAAAGTTCAATTAATGTAAATTAATCGTTTAATTCATGTCATCAAATAATTTCAATAGTAGAGAAATTGTTGTTATCACACGAATCGAGCGACCTTAGTGGTAAGAAAATTGTTGTTATTCCTTGAAATTTCGAGTTCGAAGAGCAGAAATGTCAAAGGTATGAGCATTCAATGTTAAATGGTTGAAAATTATCTTTGAACATATTATGTCTTATTCTTATCCTCAAATTAATAAAAAAAATGTTATTTTCTCTCGACGTCTTGAATTGAAATATTAGAGGAAAACTTTTTTCTAAATAGAAACCCTTACTTTTATTAAAAAAATTAAAACTTTAACGAATGTTAATAAGCACAAATATAAACTAAACATATAATTAGGGTATTTTCTATAACTATTGATCTAAGGAAAAAGTCATTTGAGATCATATAAGGATTATACAAAATAATAAATAATCATCATCTTATCAGTTGAGACGATGTTAAATTCAACCTTGAGAAAATTAACTAAAGAAAATAACTGGTAAAAAAAATTAAAAATATACCAAATGATAGAGAAAAGGCAGAGAAAAACGTTATACAAAAACAAAACTATTGAAAATTAAGGGGAACAACAAAGATACATTATAAAAAAATATATGGTAAAGTACAAATTTCATCACTGAACTTTATTTTCTCTCCTATCTTGCTCATTTAACTTTAAAAGTTTTTAATTTCCTCACTCAACTTAATGCATTGGTTTTTTTTATCATTGAATTTTAGTTTCTCTCCTATTTTGGCCACTCCGCTATTAAATAGTTAAAGGCGTTAAAAATGATGTCATTTAAAAAAAATAAAATCTGACCAAAACGACGTCGTTTTGCATCTATATAACATCGAATTTTAAAACCGTTAACTATTTAACAGTCGAGTAACCAAAAAAGCCCAATGTATTAAGTTCAGTGAGGAAATTGAAAAGATTTAACAGTGAGTGAAATATGGGAGATAGAGTAAAGTTCAGTTAACAAATTTGTAATTTACCCCAAAATAAAAGGAATACCTACGGTCGCGACCAACACCAAAATATGGGAGATAATCATCTTCCTTCGAGTGATTAATATTGATACAGTTAATATTAGACACACATACATAAACATTGCAAGTAAAAAAGAATGTTGTTTTTCTCAGATGATTCATGTTTGAGTAGCTGTGACCATACGGTATGTGTGCATTGGCGGTAGAGCATTAAACTAGATACCTTGAGTCACACGCAATGAGGGTAAAAAAGCTAACCTCTAGTTTAAGCTCGCACAAGTAAGGTGATGCCTCTATCAAAGTTCTCAAATTGGTGAGTCTATCTTCAGATTTTACTTTAGCTTGACAGTTCAAGTACCGAAGAGTAATCGAATTAGCAAACAACTTCAAATTAACATACGAAAGAAATCAACCTGTTTTACCTTTGATGAAATATTCAATCTCGGAGTCTGTAATTGAGGAAGATGATTGATAGCTGAGTAACAATGTCTGCAATTTTAGAGCTTGATAGCTTATAGTAATAGAGCTCAGTGAATTTGGGCGCATGCCTGATATCCAATGTTACTGATCGTTTTTCATGGTATTCAGATGAAACAAGACTTGGTGCAGACAATTGAATACTTTGCACAGGTAGACATTCCGATACGTGAAACTGTTTCCACCTGAGTGATGGACCTGAAACTTTAGGATGTCTAAGCAGTACAACGTTTTCGGGACAGAGGCTTTCGAGCATCGGACAATTCGACAGAATCGACTCCATAGTCTCATCGGTTACTTCCACATATTTCAAACGAAGACTATTAAGGAATTCAATCCCAGGGAAACATTCTTTTGGAAAAGGATAATATGTTCTAAAATTCCAATCCAGTAATGGCCGGATATCCAGTTCCAGCCTTTTAACCCTCTTCTTCATTGCAATCTCGATCCATTTGGTCCTCTTTCTCATTCTGATCTCGATACATTTATCGATGTAACGCCATGAATCCTTGTTCAAGTCGAATCGAACCCTCAATCCATCAAAGATTGAACCTTGATGAGAAATTAGAACATTAGTGACCCACGTTACAAATTCAAATCTCTTCCGTTCCAGATTCTTCATAAACATATCATAAACACATTCATCATCACCTTCGGCATAGTCCCTACCGTAAACAATTGGCATTAGGCCGTCGAAACTAAAAACAGCGGGCCAAAATTCCCAGAGTTGTTTCCTTCTGTGAAAAAGGCATTCATACATATAAGCCAACGTACTAATAATCATATATACTAGCATTAATTAGGTATCGTATATAAAACAAATAATAATAATATCAGAATATCATGTGACAAGAAAAGAATGATGAGTTTCATATAGGATTAGGATGATAACTTACCATCTTTGAGTGGCGGCCCTCCAATTCTTCTGTTGAAGTAATAAAGCAGGATCATCGAAATAAATTTTATTTCAGGATTCATTCCGGTTATAATCTACAAGGCCCAACCCTTGTAACTTGCTTTTCTTTGATAAACCGATCTTTCTAAGTCAACCTTCCAAATTCAGTTATTGATTGGACTAACTATAACTATCGCCGTTAGTAAAACAAATTTAAGGTTTGCAAAAGCTTGACTCGGGTTATTTGTCTCAATGAGAATCAATTTCAATCTCAATTTCTCTTTTCGTACCATCGCTCAGTGTGTTCCCAAGAAATCGAACTTGCTACCAACCGATTCTTCCTCCCAACTTTAAATCAGAACAACATACAAACCAACGTCAACTTTTTGAAATGAAAGCGTTTTGATTTTTAAAGGAAAGACTGATTTTCAATCCAAGTTTACAGAAAATTGATAATGTAATCCGAATATATTAAGTGGTTTTCAATTTTCACATTCGGAATTAATATCGCTAAGCTCTCGGCTAAATGAGAAAGTTAGCTAAGCATGATAGAAACCATACTTAGCATATTTTATGAAAATAGTAAAAGCTTAAAGTAAAGAAAATAAAGATGATGAAGAAAATAAAACTTTTATAAAAATAAAAACAAAATAAAATCTAAGTATCTCCAAGCTATATCCTAAGAGGATATTTATAGCTTATCCCTAAAGATAGTATGGGAATTCTAATGCAAATAATCCTAAATATTAATAGATAAATCCCAAGTGTTTTGAATTCAAACTTAAGTCTAAGATTCCTAAGGATCTCGTCAGATAGTGTTGACTAGACTACTTCCAAAATCTACATATGTTTATTGAACCTTTTGGAAACTGTCACGCCAGACTATGTCATATCCAGTGTCATGCCTTGTCTCCAACCGTGATCGGATAATTAAAAAATATAGATTGCACCCTTCTTATTGCTAGTTCTGAAAAAGATATTCTTGCACAAAAATAAGTAAACTAGAACCAAATCATAAAATAAGTAAAACATAACCAAATTAGCAGTAATAAATTGATAACATGGGAAAATTAACAAGTAAATAATATCAATCTAGAACACTTATCAAATTCCCTCTCACTTATCTCATGCTTGTCCTCAAGCATGCTTCAATCAAACAAGTTATAAACTCCATTTACCTTCCTTTGCTTCATCTTATATCAAAGCAAGTCATGCAAGTCAAGTTCACAACAATCATCCAAGTTAAGATATCAATCAATTGGAAAGCACAAGTTGAATCAAGTTTAAAAAATAATATGAAATCCAATCTGATGCAGGGGGATCCGAGACAGATGATGCTGAGCTGTCAGATTGCACGTTGATGGCGCTGAGATACCATGAGTTGGCAGATCAGCGCAAAGGCGGGAATTGATTGTGACATGTTCCTCATTGGGGTCGTTTTGAGTATGTTTCAGTCTTTTGGCCATAACTTTGGCTACAGGTGTCAGAATCGCGCATAAGACCCCAATCCGGAAAGCTCTTTTCGACGCGCACGCTCTCCACATGGAGCTATGCTCCATGTGGCCTTTTTTTCAACCTCAAATTCTGCCGTTTTCCCCTCCTAATCACTAGATTTAGTTATTTTTTACTATTTATGGTAATATTTCGATTGTTAATTAGGAAGTCAATTTAAATCCGATTTAGGCCGGATTTTTGGAAGATTGCTTATTTTATTTCGAATTTCAATTTAGAGTGATTTTCGGGATTTTGCTATTTTTGGCAAAATTTGAATAAAGACGATTTTTTTGCTATAACAGTCCGGCTTGTGGACTGCTTTTTGGATGGTTTTTGATTTTATAATATTTTATTAAACCCTAGAGACTTTTTTCTCTGGTTTTTGGGCGAATTTTCTCTTGTGAATCGTCTGTCGGAGCTAGCCTACAGGATAATCACTATTCTGTCTGGCGTCACAATCATTCATTAATTTCAATGCAACCATGTGATATTACCATAAGCCTGTAAGAAAATCAAATCTCTACTACTTAATTATAACAAGATGCAATAATCAAAGAGTTTTTAAAAGGTTGTAACGGGACTTAGATAAAGGTGATAAATAAGGCTAAACTGAGGCTAAAGATAAAAACAAGAGATTTTCAAATAATTAAATCAAAGTTCACAAGATAAGCAAAGTAAATGAAGCAATAAAATAAATACATCAAACAACAAAACATCAAACAAATAATTTTTTCTTTTTTTTAACTTTTCTCTTTTTTCGAATATGATTTTTTTGTTTTCTTGTGTTGTCAACTCGTTCCTTTGTCTTGACAAGGGTAGAAAAGAGGGATAAATAAAAAGGAAGGGTTTTAAAATGTGGTAAAAATAAAGAATGAGAATAGACTCAAACATGGTTAACTAATGGAAAAAATAGGGTAGGCATTTTGGGGTAAAAAAATGAGTGAATCTTAAGTGCCCAAATCATTTTAAAGCATCAAGTTCTTATATATTCTCATCATGCATTTAAGTACATGTTCTAGAATATCAACACCTAGTTCGACACACTTAGTCAAACAAAAATAAGAACAAGAATATAAAGAATATGCTCATAATGGCTCAAATCTTACCGAGGTGTGTACATGCATTGAGTTAAGCACATTTCAACTAACAAAGTCATGGAATATCACAAAAAGGTTTACTCAAATCACTACTCATGCCATCTTCTATCATGAATATCTGAACTTAAACAATCGTATGATCTCAAGCAAGCATGATATACCAAAATATTCAACAAAGGCGAACGGTTTCAACGAAATTTTCTACCAATTCAACCAAGGTATACTAAAATCAAGACATAAAGATAGGCAAGGTGAAATTCAACTAATTCTCTACCCCGTCACTTAAGTCGTATTGTACCAATACGTAAAATTAAAGTGTAAGAGAAAAAAATAGAGAAAATGTTGTGTTTAGTGACGATTGAGGCCATGTCCACGGCCGCGGTGAGAGGCGCTAGGGCGGAGATAGGACAGAATCTCGACTATGTTCATCTCGATAGTGTACCAAAAATCACCTTCGACGAATGCAACAAACGGCTACCATTGTGAAAATCACGGTGATTCCACATCAAGGATGGCGTCCTACGACTATGTATATAGCAAGGAAGGTGTCGGAGGCGGTGGTCGTGGTCAAAAATGATGATGGAGTTAGGGTTACAGTTAGGGTTTGGGGAATTTAAGGATTTTGGTGTGTGTTTTTCTAATTTTAGAAAAAATAGGATTTTTTATAAATATAATATTTTTTAAATTTTAATTTTTTAAAATTATTTCGAAATTACTAGAGTGTGACATATGTCACTTAACGGGGGAAATTAACGTTGTTGATAGCCCGGGCTCCTATAGTAGTAACGTTTGTAACGCTAGGTGCAGGATGATTCAAAAAATACTTTAAGCACCTATTTGTGAAAATCGGTATAATTTGGGCACTTATTTTATATTTAAGCCATTTTTTAATTAATCTTCTAATAAGATTGCGACATGTGTCATAATATGAATGAATAATTTTTTAAATTTAATTATTTTATTTTCCATCCAATCAAATGGTTCCACATGTCACCATCAGATTGGATGGAAAATTAGCACGAAGAAAAATTCATGCAAATAGGGTGGGTAGGAATCGAACCAGGGAATAGTGCATTCAAAATAACAAAAGAGAAAATAACCTCAGTGACCAAAAATCCCATATAATATACGATTTTAACCAACTTTTTTCGGATTTGCCAAAATGACCAACAAAATCGCAATGCGATCGCTAATTCGCAACGCGATCTCCATTATCGCAAATTCGCGTTGTATTTTCGCAATACGATAGTTGAAAATCGCGTTGCGATGGTCTACAGTATCGTTGCGATTTTCCCAATTCGCAATGCGAATAAGTAAATCGCAACGCGAATTGGGAAAATCGCAATGCGAATAAGTAAATCGCAACGCGAATTGGGAAAATCGCAATGCGATACTTACTATCGCAATGCGATAATACAAAATCGCAATGAGATACTTACTTTCGCAACGCGATACTGACTTTCGCAACGCGATTTACATAATCGCAATGCGATTTTCAAAGCGCCATTAGTATCCTGGCCAAGTATTTTATTTTTAAATTCCAAACATGAATATTAATATATTGGAACATTGAACTGTCCACAGTATATCCCGTAATCGCAACTCATAACCTAAAACCTAAAATCACAACTCAGTCCCATCTCCATCTCTCACTCTCTCACCCATCTCCGACGAAATCCGTCCCCATCTCCGACGAAATCCGTCTATCTAAATCTCTCAGAGCCACCCTCACAATCAGAAATGGAAAATCAACCAATCACCAACGAGGGTTAGTTTTTTTAATTATTTTCTTTTTGAAATTTTTGCATTATTATTAGGTTTTTCATATTGAAATCGATGATAAGTTTACTGGTAATTTCAATAATAGATTAACCATTTCACTTAGATTGCTTATTAAATCAACCAGAATCGCAACGCGAAATGCAAATCGCAACGCGATTTAGTTTCGCGTTGCGATTATCTCGTTGCGATAGTCATTTTCGTGTTGCGATTACTTCACAGTGTTGCATATTTAAGTTTGAAGAATAAACTACTACTATTTATGTTTATTATTGTTTTGGTATATCTTCACAGTAGTTTTTGGTATATCTAATTTAGTATGTTTATTGTTTTTGTAGAACTTTTATTCGGCTCAATTGACCTTGAGAAATAAAGTCAGCCTGGCCAAAACAATTGCGTCGAAGCTTTCACCTGCACAAAGAAAAATGTTTGAGGATACATGCTTTGGGCCATGGCTGAAAGTAAAACATCCCGGTGGAGATGCGATGTTGACAC